TAAGCTTTGAAATACAGGTAAAAATTCTCAAAATTAGGGCAGAGGAAAAAGAATTTCAAATAGAAGGAATACTGTCCAAAAAGACCTGGAAGTGGATTGTGTTGGTATATAAGGCTAGAAAAGTCCAAAGAAGAATGAGTAAAATAAAAAAATAAAAAATAAACAAAAAACAACGAACCAACATTGTTTTTGACTCTCCTGCCATAAGTACTTGTTCAGAGCAAGTAACTATTTTTAATGTTAATGCTATTCACTCACTGGGGTTTCCTCGCACAGCAAATTTCACCCTAAGCTACGCAGTTCTTTGATATATTTCTCGTGTATACTCCCACCTATTAACAGTGTGTCTTAACTGCAAATACCAAAAAGACATGCTACCAATAATTCAGATCAGTGTTTTCCAGTCAGTAACCCTAATAACAGATCCATTTTGAAAGCTCTCTGACAAAGAAGACTGAAATATTCTATCTTTTCCCTTGCGTTTTGAATTTATACAATTGTTGGCAGATTAAGTATACAAAAGGAAGTTTTAAAAAATCTTATTCTCTCAAGGTGAGTTTACTTTCATTTACTGCTTTACTTTTATCAAAAAAATCAATAAATAAATGTGATGCTTGTGAAGGGAAATTGTTTTTCTACTAGCTTGTAATTAATGAGACTTGGCTTTAAATTGATTCTGTGCTTAGAAACCTCTAACACATTCACTGGGAAATCTCAAGAACACCACAAACTTCATATTTCAAATGGACCCATGTCCCACAAAAGCCTGCTCAGCTTATTCTCTTAACAGCTCTACAGTTCAAGCCAAAGGCTAGAAACTATCTTCCATACTTTCCTTCTCTTTCGTCTAGGCATGTCTCTTAGTAGGTAGAAATTCTAAGCCTTCCTCTCCATACTGACCACCACAGCTTAATTACCCCTTTACCCCTTAAGTTTCCACAATTTTCTAATCAGTCTTCCTAATCTAGTCTTTACAACTGACCCTCTGTGCTTCCATCAGCATGTTTTGAGACAAAAAAACAAACTCACTTCATAACCTTGAAACCCTCCAGCATACTCAGACAAGTCAACTGTCTGTCTCTACCTTCACCACTAGGCTCCTGCCTCTCTTCTCCAATCCCTCACACTGTATCTCCTGCCTTAATGGTGCCAAATGCTTCATGGTTTTCACGTGTTCCCTGCAGCCCCCACCCAGACCTCTGCAGAGGCTATGCTGTTTGATTGCAATGTCTGGCTGCTTTTCACCTGGAGATTCCCAATTTAAGGCCTGATTCAGATGCCACTAGTTCTAGGAAATTTCTTTGATAACCTCCTCCCATGAAGTTATTTCTCTTTTAGCTCCTGTAGTATTTTGGACAGCATTTACCATTGTACTGAATGTATTCACATTGGTCTCCAGAGCTAAGACAGAATTTCCTGAAGGCAAGATACTACCTCTTATTTCTTTATAAACCTAAGCCTACAACAATGTTTGCAGACAATTATATCTACATTAACACCAGGGGCTGGTTAACCATTATTTGTTATTAGCAATAAACAACTCTTGACAACCAAAACCCAAAATAAGGTAGTCAAACAAGTCAGTAGTCATACCAAGTGCTAAATGAGCTCAAAAGGACGCTTAACTATCAGGATGATCTGTTTGCACAGTCTACAAGTTAGTTTTAATATTTATCCACACCATGTTTTAGTATGCAAATCAGCTACTGTTTGGATTGTAGGAACTCAGTCTAAAAAAGCACTTCAAAGATTTTCAAATGCCAACATCAAGGGAAACTTCTACTGAAATGTGTGCTGTATTCACTTTAATGTATGTGTATTTTTGAAATAAATGTGCAAAGATCACTATTAACTTTCTTGAAACAGCCTGTTAACAGTTATATTCCCTGCTATTGTGTCCATGAGCTCCTGAAGGGCGGGGATGCCATCTTCCTTCTATTCCTAGCACACTCCAGGTACTAAATAAACATTTAAAGAGAAGACAATCAATTCATCCATCTAACTTCTTGGGTAAGTCACATGTGGAACTGAAATACTTATGAATTGCCAAGTGACAGAAAATGTTAATTAAGGTTTCTAAATATGATATATCAATACTCACTTTATACTATATGAAAGAGATCAAAACTTAAAGTGATTTCAGAAAGACAATCAATGTAACAGATGTACCCTGCATGGATATGAAAGGTAAATAACACATCTTATTCTTGTGAAGGTGGGCACTGCTATTAAATAAAGCCTGAATCCTGAGTGGGTAGATTCTTCAGGTTGGGTTGTTGCAATGCTCAGCACAAATGTGAGAGAACATGCTCAGTCCTGTTTCTATGTCACTGTCTTAATCATTTGAGAAGTGTCTACCTAATTGGTGAATTATTTCAAGCTCCTTTCTTTTCTCCCCTGATGTTTAGCCACTTTGAAGCCAAATAACTTCATGAGGTAGTCTAACAGGGAAAAAGCCAAATAAATTAGCATTGTTAGGGACTCTAGCAAATCCTAGGGCTAGGAAATAGAGTAAAAATTAAAAATTTAGATACTAGCACATTTAAATCATCTATGTTAATCTGGATTAGTATACTACAGAAAATTAAAATCTGGATCTGTACTGTACAATTAACTTTGTTGTAAATCATAGATTCTGTATACTATGAATTTCCCCTAATTTCTGTGTCTTTGCCATCCATATGGATAATTTCAGTGCTAACAGTCCCAACTGGGAAGTCATTAACTTATCAAAGGAAATCGTTTTATTTTTATAGTTCAAAAACCAAACAAAAGGATAGGCACATATTTACTTTCTATGAGTCATGCTCTGAACCTAAAATGCAAAAAAGACTGACATGCACTTAATGTGTATTCCAAGACTTTGTAACAGAGGGAAAAATCAATACAAAATTTAGGTATGAAACATCAAGTCACTGAAGATAAAAGCTGATTACACAATGGCTTTCATGTTCCAGCTACTGAGATGGAGCAATGTACATTTGACTACTCAGCTTTAAAGGGTAAAGTAGAATAAACTGCAGACATCTCAGCTCCTTATACTCTCAACTGTTTGTCAAAGGATAGATATTTTCCCTATCAATAACAATATTTTAGTGTTAACACTTGCAGTTTAATATTGAATTAAAAGCTAAAGAGTGCTTTATCCTGACAGTTTATAAAATTAAAAAAAAAAAAACTCACTAACTTCAAGAAGAATTAAACCTTTGAGAATTTGAGACTTGTAAGATTCACAAAGGAAAGAAAAAAACAGTGATCGGACAGTGGTCACATCCTGTGCAAAAAAACTTGAGATATAAAAATGGTAGCACAAGGGGCCGGCCCGGTGGCGCACTGCTACAGTGCGCCGCTTGGGAGCGCGGCGGCACTCCCGCCGAGGGTTCAGATCCCACATACAGACCGGTTCCCGCTCACTGGCTGAGCGAGGTGCGGGTGCAACACTGAGGGTTGCGATCCCGTTGCCGGTCCTGGTCCGGTACGGGGGCGACACTGAGGGTTGCGATCCGTTGCCGGGCACGAAAAAAAAGACAAAAAGAAAAATGGTAGCACAAGATGTGAGACTTGTAAGATTTCTGTTTTTAGAAAGAAATGTTCAACAAGAGAATGAATATCTACTTTTAAAATTCTGGCCCAAATTTGCCACACACTCATAACAAATTACTAGTACCTCACCTCATCAAGCTTTCATAAAAACTGATGGCATTATACAAAGCAAACCCATCTATTTCTCTAGCATGCCCAATGAAATAAAAAGAAGGTAGAGAACAAATGGTAGAAGTAAAAGAAGGGACACATTCAGGGTTATGCTACAACTGAGGTCAAAGAAGCTAGAGGTGCATGAAGTGTGCCTAGCACAGAATCTCCCACATTATACTCTGGTTCATAAACCATCTATTTGAGTTTGGGAATTTTTATTCTTTTAGTAGTCTATACTTCCTAAGAAATATGCTTAAAAACACATAAAAAGGAGTAAAAATAATAAGATTCAGTTATTCAGCTGAGGTACTTGGGTTCCTACTTAGGGGATGACAAAATGCTTTTTGACAAAGTGTGTGTGTGTGTGTGTGTGTGTGTGTGTGTGTGTGTGTGTGTGTGTGTGTTTAACTCAAAAAGGAGGCATGTCATGTTAATATGTTTAAAATTACAGCCCAATCTTAAATTTTTTCACTCTATGATTAAATTAATTACAGAAACTGTTACTTTAACATGAATGCCATTTGATAGCCCTGCATTTAATTCTGCTAGACCAAAGGCTCATACCTTTAAAAAAGAAAAGGCTCATACCTTTAAAAAAAAAAAAAAAAAAAAAAAAAAAAGCAACCATTTACATTTACTAAGAAAAGCAAACATTTACTTCAGTATAGGCTTTTCAATCACAAAAGAAAGAAAAGAACAGTGATCCGACAATGGTCACAACCTATGCCAAAAACGTGATATAAAAATGGTAGCACAAGATATCTGAGCTGCTTACATTGCAGGAAAAAGGAGATACAGTAGCTGAAATATGGCACTCCTGGGAATCAATTTCTAAACCAAACAGAATGCCTTTGAATGATTATATTTATTTTTGTATTAGTAAGAAAGCCCCACCACAATAAATAGTACAATATTTAAAAAAAAAAAAAAAAACAAACCAACTATATCTATCTAAGATAAACAGTGTATTTACTGTTAGACCACTTTAACTGCAGAAGGTGGTTCAGGTTTTGCCTTTTTTACCCTTGATTAAATAACTGCCCATATGCTTTATAAAGCAATTCCACTCAATTGCAAAAGCCAATTTAAATCAAGGAATATGTTATCAAAGTTGCATAATTTCATTTGGGACTGCCAGCAGGTTAAAGTCTCAAATCAAGTCTTTAACATTAATGTTCATTTTTAAACAATGAAAAGTTAAAAAGTTCTCAAAATCTTCATTATCCTCTTGAACTTGCCCTTTTAAATGATCCTCAGACTGCAATTCCTAGTGTGCAAATAAAAGAATGCAATATGCATCATACTTCAAGAAAAGACGACGACGTCGAACTAACATTCTTCTGGATCTTTTCCCTGCTCCTTTCAACCTTCTTTATAATTTCTGCCACTATGCACACTGATGAAGTGAGACCCAAAAGAAACAAAAGATCTGCAAGAGAAAATAAGTTGGGTTTTACAATTCTTAATTTCTTACCAAGCTTAATCGCTTACCATTTGCTAGCATTTTACTGCAGCTTTTAAACACATTTGTTTCACTATCATTCCATGAGGGAGGTACAATCACCCTCAGTTAAAAATAAGTAAAAGAAAGCTCAAAGGTATTAAAATGACTCTTCCAAAGTCACACAGCTAAGGGCAGCAGCAGAACTAGGATCCATGTCCTCTGACCATTTTCCCTGGACCAGCTCTTAACAATAACACCAGCATGAGGAGTTTTCTAGTTAATAGATCACACAGCCCTTTTAAAAAGCACTGTTCAAGCAGCAGTAACCAATTTGATTGAAAATGCCTATCTGAAGATTAAAAATTTTGCATCACTACTTTCCATTTCAAAGCCTAGAAGACTCTGAAATGCATTATCATTTTTAATGTACTGTATCATATATTTTTACATATTATACATTAAATAATGTGTAATTTCCATAGAATCTTTACAAAACTTTCTGCTTTTAGCATCAGACTGACATTTCATGAAACTAGAATGTGCAAATTAACAACAACAAAAAAAAACCAGTAAAATATTAGTTTAACTATTAAAATTGTAATTTCAAAGAACAACAATTTGGTTTTTGGTGAGCTTAAGTCTAGTTTTCTCTTCATACAAGATGAGAAATGTGCACTAAAAAGTTATAAATTATAATTACTTTACAACAGGCTTTGATTTGCTACATTTCAGAATCACCAAATATGATTTATAACAAATGATAACTTATAAAAAAGGAAAAAAAATAAAACCCTAGAGTTAGGAGAGTGACTCCTTGGAACTTCCCAACATAAAAAAATAGCGCATATTCTTTTTTCAAATCAAGTCAGTTACTTTTCTTATTTCACTATTTTAAAAGAATATCAGAATAAACACATTCGAAAATATAACAATTCAAAAGACATAAATTGTAAAGATAACATTTTCTTTACCCAGTATACTTAGGCTCTCAGTCTGAAAAACCTTCTGAAGTGGAGGAAAGTAAATAACTAGTAACTGTCCCATGATGGATCCAAGAACTGCATAGCAAAACATTTTATTACTGCAGAGTCCAATCTCAAATACAGACTTGGTCTGTTGGCAGAGCAGAGAGTTCAAACATTACTCCTTGGTCACAGAAATATCTTCTTTATTATTATATTCACTTCCAATTTTTAATAAGCAGTATCACTATATCATTTAATTCTACAATGTCAATTCCATTAAAATCTCTTAATTTTAACTATTATTTTGAAATAATTCAGATGGAATAAGGGTAAATTTTAAAGCAGCTTCTATTTATCAGAAAAGGGCTTGCTTAAAAAAAAATGGCATCCCAAAGCATGAAGAAACTTTATCTGTATTTTGCTAAATCATTTCCATACATTCATTAGGGTAGATCATCTATAATCCTTTGTAAAAGAAAGGACCTAGTTGTGTATGTACTGAAAAAGTAAAACTGGAAGGAAAAAAAAAAAAAAAAAAAAAAAAAAAAAAAAAAAAAAAAAAAAAAGAACAATCTGAGTGTAGGCCAAGCAGTTAGTTCACTTGGTTAGAGAATGGTGCTTAATAATACCAAGGTCAAGGGTTCAGATCTCCATACCAGCCAGCGGCCAAAAAGAAAAGAAAAAGAAAACTGCCTTTCGTAAAACAAAAAAATGTACTACATGTACTTCAAAAATTAATTTAAATTAGTGACAATTCACTGTACTTGGAAAGTTCTAGCATGGCAAAAGGTAACAGATATACTTAAGGGTTCATAAAGTGCTTTACAATTGAAATGAATACTTGTACCTCTCAAATGGAACTAGTTTTCAAGAACAATATGATCTGGAAAAATATCACTAGATTCTAGCCCAGTATTTTCTATCAAAATACTTAGACCAAAAAGAGGCAGTCACACCTTAAGATATAATATAGGAAGAAAAGCAAAGTTAAAATGTCCCAAGCTTTGACACACTGATAGAAGTGATAGTAAAAAAATTAATATGTATGGGCCGGCCCGGTGGCGCACTGGATAGTGCGCCGCTTGGGAAGCGCGGTGGCGCTCCCGCCCGAGGGTTCGGATCCCACATACAGACCGGTTCCCGCTCATTGGCTGAGCGAGGCACGGGAGCGACGCCGAGGGTTGCGATCCCGTTGCCGGTCCCCGGTCCGGTACGGGGGCAACACTGAGGGTTGCGATCCGTTGCCGGACACGGAAAAAGACAAAAAAGACCAAAAAAAAAAAAAAAATTAATATGCACAAAACTGTTCTTGTACTTCTAACAATACTTTCTCCTAAAATGTGACTAAAACTATCCCAACAGAACCCATGAGGTTTGTCATCCTCTTCTCAATGTTAACCTGAATCTGTCACACAGCTACAGCTAAGAAAGGAATGGAAAAAAGAAAGATAAGACAACACTCGTGATTTACTTTTATCTTCCAGTAAAAGGTAAGGCTTATCTCCCTCCAAATGCCCTATCCTCCTTGTGACCAATGGCACATGTTTATAAGAAGGCTGTGTCTGGGGCTGTAATCTATGGCTACAAAACCAAGGAAAGCTAAAAATTCATAATCCATACCTACTTACTATTACAAAGTATTACTTAACTGAGTCAATCAACTAAGATCACCTAACCATACCTGGGATCTGGAACTCAGTGCATTGAACATGTCAAAAAACACAAAACATGTGAAGGTCATTGTTGTGTCTCGAGGTGTTATCACATTATCTCGTAGCTGTCAAGCAGAAAAAACAAAATGACTTTTTAGTGGCTGAATTCAATGGTCAAAACAATAACATTTTTTTTCCGTTAGAATAAAATAGCTTTAGTCTAAGATATGAAACATAAAAGTTACCTAAATTTCCTATAACCCTCTAGTGAATAGCTGCAGTCTGCATTGTGAAAAGTAAAAAAACTTCTCATGAACTATTCATATATAGTACTAAAATACTGTTATTAATTAATAACAATAAAGTAGCTATATTAAAGACTCAGATTTCCCAACTTCTCCCCAAAGTTTCATGTATTAATTTTTCTTGTATCTGATTTTTTTCTGCAGATTTAAATTATTCTAATACAGGAAACAAGACTTCTATTAAACCATAAAAATTGAAATCAAACTCTTTTTATCATATTTTTTCACTCAAAGAGCTCTCCTAACATCCCAGCCTTCTGTGTAACACACCAAAATAACTAAGAATCCTATCATACAGAATGCTTGTTAATAAAGCAGCTTATCCAGTGAATATACCTCACGCCAGAAGACAAACAAAGTCCCACAAACAATGATTACTGATGAAACAAGTATTTTAAGTATCAAGTTTTTAGTCAGAATGCTGTCCTTCCAGTTGCGAGGAGGTTTACGAATGACATCTTTATCCACTGGTTCTACTCCAAGGCTTAAAAGCAAACAGAAAAATGAATTACTTTAGTTTTGAGGTTTGGATTTTTACTTTCACATCCTTAACCTCAATTATTCTGGAAACTAAATGCCTTCTTATGGAAATGAATTGTTGAATCATAAAAAAAACCTTAGTTATGATTATTCAGAATTAACCACTAATTTTGTCACTGTTTCTCTCCTCTCTTTACCCTCATTTATTTGGCAAAGTTTCATAGGAAACTAATAGTCAAATTTCAAAAAATCGCCCAATTTTGTTTACATATAAGTTTACTCACTTCAAATATGGTATGAAATACATGACCTACCAACTGAACTTTGAAATATCTTTCAAACAAGGAACTTTTGACTAGGATGATTTGTTGCAGTGGCCAATGGCATGTATCAACCAACTACCTCATTATTATAAAAGAAAAGAATAAAGTTAGAAGCTCAGGTTCTTCAATACCTTCCCCAAATTTCTAAAGTTAACAACAGAAGCTAGGTAGTAACACTGAAATCAGATTTCTTCATTACACCCAATTCATAGAAATAAAAGGCTTACTTCCTGAGGACAGAGACTGTACCTGTTCAGTGATCTGTTCTCAACCTGAGGCCAGACAACTAACACAGTGTAATGACTCAGATCCATACTGTATAAATGAACACTCGGAATAAATGATATGCACACATCATACAATTTATAACAAACATATGGCTTCATCATTTTCTAATTCTGTCCATAAAGTTTTAAAACTTAATTACCAGGGAATCACACCTTCCTTGTCTTTCCAGTTAATGCACAAAAAAGCTCTTACCTCTGAGCTGGGGGTCCATCCATAATAATATTGATCCACAAAATTTGCATGGCATTGAGAGGATTAGGAAAGTTCATTAATGTAGCCAATGAGATTAAAGTTAATGCTGCTATACTCCTGTTGAAAAAGAGAGTCATTTAAAAATCTGTTGCACAGTAAATTTCCTGTTGATTTTTATCACTTTTGTAGCATTTAAAAAGCTTATGTTACTACTGTGCTTCTAAAGGAAGACTATATTTCAAGTAACCTATGCTTCATTCATGTGTACATTTTAAAGCAAAGAGTATTTTAACAAAGGATTTTCAAGATGTTTAAGACAACAGCAGCAAACAGAGAAAGATTTTTTTAAATCTACATAACAGTTAACAGTTTGAATAATATTTTGGTGACTGTTTTTTGACTACAGAAAATCCGTTCTACTTTTGGAAAAGGAAACCAAGAGTAAACACTGAGATGTGACCCACTCCTCCCCCTTAGTTATTTCTGGAGCTATTAAATCACAAAACTTTAAATATTTTGATGACGATATAGACATCTAATTACCATATTTAGAACTTATCATGCCATTTTTAATTTCATATATAATTACTTTTCTTTTTGTAAAACTTAACATGAACAACCCTCAGAAATACAGGACAGAAGTTTCTAGGCATTCTGCTTAAGTTCTACTTTTCATATAATTTATCTAGAAGACCCATGGTGACAAACTGCTTGCAAACTTACGTGCTCAGTTGAAATCTAACAAAATTTTTAATGTTATTATAAATCCCTTTACCCTCTTCAATGGCAGACCTGAAATTTAAAAAAAAAAAAAAAGATGAAGTGAGAAAAAATTATCAAATAAAAATACAGATATTTCAACAAAAATAAAAATATATATCTATACTAAAACCCTGTGAAGCTTATTTGAAAATAAATTTCCAACTAATACATGTATCACTAAAAAGGATCTATTATTTTCTTCACATAATTAAGATTAGAAAAAATAAGGAAACATTATTTTAGCAACGAATTAAAGTCAAACCTGCTACATTCCACTTTAATTAAATTCATTAAACAATATTAAAATTCTTATTCATAAAAAGCTATTTCTACATTAAAATCATATATTGTCTCTCCACACAAAAGACAATACTACATATTCATAATACTTAAATGGTAATCTTTATCCCTTTAAGTTCATTTTTTTTAGAAATACAAGATGCATGGTAAAGGGTTAAATTAATGTATATGGGGAATTAAATGGTAATGAGAGATATAAGAATTATAGAATTTAAGCTATCTGTTGCTCCTGCAAACAAGTAGATAGTGTGTTGTAGAGGAATTAAATAAAGAATATGGTTTACAAAGACTCATATGAATTCTCTCATTCATTTGGCCGAATCTAAGAAAATATGTGTTTTTCAAATCACTTCCCCTTTCTGCCAAAATTTTAATACAATTCTAAGAATGGAAAGAAAAAAACTCATATATCCTTGTAAGAGCCTGGCAAATGCTCCATGCTCTGAGTTCCCAAATTCCTTGCTTTAGGCCACAATGGAGTAATAAACCACGCTGGAACATGAAATTAGAATTTATAAATGAATTAAGACTCAGTTCATCCAATAGGTAGTTACCAAAAAGCAAAATTCACATGACCCCCACCTGAACATTGTGAAACTGACACCACCAGGTATTACACTGTAGTCTTAAGTCAATTGCAAACTGTGGCTGAAACAAAGCTATTCAAATTCAATAAATTATATCATGAAACAAGGGCAACACGAAGAATTACTGATAGAAGGGAATAGGTGTGGAGCTAAACCTGAAAATTTTTAACACTTATTATAAGGCCATGCACATGGCCTTATTTCTGATTACCTGAATTTAACTAGAATAAAAGGTCCCATGAAGGTTCAGTGCTGTGCCATCATACTAGTACCCAGAAAAATGTGACATTTGGCTGGCACTCAGCAAATATTTCTTACTGAATGGCCCTACCATTTATTATGCCTGTTCTACGCAAACAAATGATTTCCTCTAGTAATCTGGAAACATGGTGTAGTATACCTATTGTTTAAATACTGCAAATGCTTTTCCAGTTGAATTGTCTGGGGATGGGGTATAAAGAAGGACAGGGGAAGACTCTCTGATACACATTCACTGAAACAAAACTTACATTATGGTTTGAAAATCATCATCAACCAGGATCATGTCTGCTGCCTCTTTGCAAACATCTGTGCCAGTCTGGCCCATTGCAACTCCAATGTCTGCAGCCTTCAGAGCAACTGCATCATTTACTCCATCTCCTGTCATGGCTACAACTGATCCATTCTTCTGCAGAGACTGGAGTGGGGCAGAGGAGAGAGGGGAGGAAGGAATTCTGATAAAACATGATGCTTTTCATATAGATGAATGGATAAACAAATCTGCTCAATTATTTCTTCACGTAACTAAGATTAGAAATAATATAGACCACCCATTTTTCAATAAACTTCAATATGTAGAGGTCTTAACAAGATAAAGCTTAGAAAAGGTTGCTATTAATATTCCCATCTGTGAGAAATGAATGTCTAAAGTCTGATCTATAGTCAATTATACAACAGTTCTCAACTAGGGACAATTCTGTATCCCAGCAACATCTGACAATGTTTGGAGACGTTTTTGATTGGCATGATTTGGGGGACGCCACTGTCATCCAGTGAGTAAGGGACTGGGGAATGCAGCTAAACATTCTACAATACACAAAACAGTCCCTAACAACAAAGAATTATCCAGTCCAAAACGTCAATAGTACCAAAGTTGAGAAACACTGAACTATGCAATAGCTGGCTACTGTGATTAACTTAAATCCATTAATTATTAAATACTATGTCACTTGCTTTATACATATTTGACTAATATAAATAACCATAGCCTTTTAAAAAATGGTCACATTCTCATAACATTTTTTTCTTGCTGTATTTATTCAGTTTCTAACTAATTATCACTATTCACTCAGATAATTTGGCTATGGACCCTACTGGAACATACTTCAACACTATTTCACTGTTTACAAAGAAGGCAAATATTTGCAGACATTTCATTAAAGTTTTCTTCTACATCTTCCTATGCCACCTAAATTCTCTATTAGTGTTTCCATGTCAAGCTCTTTAAAAAAAAAAAAAACACCAAAAACCCTGTTTTACTTCACCATACTTCTGACTTGGATGCTCTTATCAACACTCCTTGTAACGCAAACATAACAAAAGAGAAAGTAGCAGCATTTTGTTTATCAATATAAAACAGTCTGATTTTTAGACACCCACCTTAATAATTTTCATCTTGTGTCTTGGGCTAGCTCTGTAAAATACCGCAACCTGTTAAAATACAGGATACACTAAAAATCTTCAGTGTTAAGAAATATCAGAATAACCCACACATTTATAACCAATGACTTTACTTAATCAATTTAAGCTGTATTTAATTTGCCACGAAGATCAAGTCTAAGCAATATGTCATATGTTAGTTTAAGACATTCATGTGACTGACATGGTCGTTTCAACCTTTACCAAAGGTACCACAAGATACAATCTAAACAAGTCATCCAATTTATATCAGTATGTTTAAACTCTAAAGAAAAAACAGCCTACTTCTTGAAAAGTTCCAGATGCAGAAAAAGGAAAAATTCTCTGAGTCTGTCGGTTTTCTCATGACACTGGAATACAACTGTAATAGCCTTTTCCCTTTGTTCTGTCTTCAGGGGACATAAAGAACAGGTGCTCCTCAATGTCTGTAGAGGGCTTTTATTTTATTTTCTTTTAAAGAGTTAAGTGTCCGCTCATTCTCTTTTACTTAGGTTAATTCATTAGACTCTCTTCCGCTATATCTCCAAACTGCTTATACGATTTTATCTCTCCAAAGTACATATCTAATCCCTTTTTCTGACTCCATCTCCTGGTCTCCTGAAACCATTTCACTGTGCCTCAAAGTCAGCCACCAACATCACTTCACGGATCCTTGACTCTTTTTCACCTTGCTCTCACCTAGTTCTTCCATAAAACACTTCCATCCCTATAGCTCTCTCAAACACCAGGGGAGCCTAGAGGTAGGGTAGGTAATCTCCATTCCCCCTTCATAAAACCTTAGTTTTGAATGTTACATGAGACTATACTTCCCATGAACTGTGGGCAGTCACTGCTCCAAAGGTCACAATCCCTCATTTCACAAAGATTTTAACTTCTGCCTTACTGTCACTCTCTCCAATAATACTTACAAGTCATGATAAATTCAATACCCATATAATACATCATTCTCTTTCCTCCTCTCCTAGAGAATTAGTTCATACCAGTTTTCTCTCATCATACCTCCAATCTATCTCAGTACCATCATCAAGACTGTTCCCAGCTTCTCCCCTTTTATTATGGTCTAAAACAAAAGATTATTATTTTCTTAGATAAAAGACTCAGTTGGACTGTAATATGAAATTACTGGTTGTCCCTAGGCCCTTTAGGATGGATCACATAACTCATATTTGGAGAATATTTTCCCTTTTAAAAAAGTTCAAAAATCCATTCAGAAACTCTTTAGTATGTCTTTTAAAAGGACTAAGTTACACGGATACTCAAAGTATACTGGTAACCTTCTAAGTGAAAATTCTAATTACAGAAATTAATTGTGTAGCAAACAGCACTGATATACTTAAGCAAAAGCTGTGAGATCAATAAAATATTTAAATAAAAGGCTAATTATAAGTACTCAGGTTGTACAGAGTAAAATTTTGCCTTTGTTCCACATAATTAATTTTTAAGCCATTGAAAATAAATCCTTTATAGCCTCTATGAGTTATCATTGACAATGGTAGTAAGAATGACAAAGGCATATTTCTTTTGTATAGTAGCAAATTACTTGGGGTGCATCCAGTACATTTACTACTAGATGTAAGATTTTAGCATTTCAGAGCTATTGATGGCAACTCAAAAATATGAACAGCTGCTTTGAGACTCAGCAGATCTCAATGCAAAGCTGAAAGTTCACGTGGTATTTTGCATGTGATATATAACACTGCACAGAGTCAAATATGTCCTTAAAGCACCAGAATGAGGTCAATCTTGTTAAAGAAAGAATACTGAAGTTTAATGGACATGAAATTATCGCCAAAAGAAATGAGATCCAAAATAAACACACACACTAGAAATTAGTAAAACTGAACTATATCACTATCTCACAGAACTCAGATTAAACTTGGGGGTAACTAAATTTCCTCTATTAATAATCTTTTGACCTTTATGTCTCTCTACCTAGAAAAAGGGAATCTAGTTAGTAACTACACATAAAAACACAATTCAATCACTGTGTGATTGAATTGTGAATAGGATTGAGAATAGGATGGGAGAAGATAGGAGGAGAATAAGACTGTGAAAGGACGGTGAATAAGAAGTAGAACTGCGTTCAGAACAGGAGAGCACAGGGAATACTGTGGGGGAGGAAAGGATAAAAACCATCAAAGGGAAGGGAACAAGGCTACATATTTTCAGAAGGAATCAGCAAGGGTATTATTCTCTTCTAGTAGGTCCTTCTTTTCAGTGTCATATTTGTGATCGGCACTCACAGTTCTTTTGATTGAGATTTAACAGACAGGGTGTACTAGAAAAAAGAAGTATGAAAAAAAGAAAGTACGAAAATATCAAAGAAGAGGTTAATGAAAAAAGATGTTTCTGGCATTAGAACAACCTGCTAAGGGTCCTCAAATCTTCTAGAACAGATAAAAAGAAAACTGATGCATTGAAGAAAATAGTAGATGATTAAAATAAAGATGTATGACCTACCGAAAATTAAGCAATGCATAAATTAGAATAATATTTTGGGGACTTAGTTAATAGATGTGGTGGAAATACAAACTGAGGGTACTGCTCTGAAAATCGAAAAACAAAGAATAAAAGAGAATGACCACTTTTATCCTTGGAAAATGTAGGATATCCTAGAAGAAATCATAAACAAAAACAAGAACTCAGATGGACTAATAAATAATGAAGCAAAACTAAGTTTCCATACTATTTTTTAATTGACTCTAGATCAAAAGAATATATCAATGTTGAGAGATTTGGAATGTGTTTCAAATAACTGTGGAAAGGAAAAACTGAAATACATTTTAATGAGGGACAAAATTAATATTATTTAGTACATGTGGGGAACCCTCAGTGAGCTGGTGATTCAGAACAAAAGTTCTGTTTTATTTGTAACACTAATAAAAGAAAAGCTATTCAAACTAATCAGAAGCAAAAGCAGATGACCAAGTATACATGTTGGCTATAAGAGAGTTACATGAACATAAGAGGAAGCAGGGAAAAAGATGAAGTGGGGGGGGGGGGGGCAGTCCTGCTAAGCTCAAATAACTAAAATGATTCATTAGTAACAGTCATGCTGGGCCAGCCCGGTGGCGCACTGGAGAGTGTGCCGCTTGGGAGCGCGGCGGCGCTCCCGCCAAGGGTTCGGATCCCATGTGGAGACCGGTTCCTGCTCACTGGCTGAGCATGGTGCGGGTGCAACACCGAGGGTTGTGATCCCGTTGCCGGTCCCCGGTACGGGCGCGACACCAAGGGTTGCGATCCCGTTACCGGTCAGTAAAAAAGACAAAAAGAAAAAAAAAAAATAATAAAATTTAAAAATAAATAAATAAATAACAGTCATGCATAGCTTAATGATGGGAATATCTTCTGAGAAATGTGTCATCCAATTTCGTCATTGTGTGAAAAGCGTATTATGAAACAGAACAGCAATAAATTTTTCTATTATCTACACTAACTACTAGTTGCATGAGAGTGGGCCTTCTAATTATGTAACTAAGTTTCAGTGCCTCACTTTCCTCATCTGTTGAATGGGATTAGAATAATACCGCCCCCACAAAGTTACAAAAATTAAATTACAGGCAGAGACTGGGCCTGGCACTGAGCATGCATTCAGTTAGTGTTAGCTGTTAACTATTATTTTGCTATGAGGATGTGTGGGAATCATTTTAAAATGCAAGAATTCTATAGTAGACAATAATCCTTTCACTTGGGTTCAGACCTAACGTGTCAAATGCCTGGCTTTCTAATCTTATTAAACATCTGAGCTATCTTTGAGAGGGTCACCCCATGGACAGGGTAAGCACTCCTCAACATACTTTGAAGTAGGTTTGTTTACAGCAGCATCACCCCAACACTTGACCAACACATGTGTTGCACTACAAAGTTACAACAGTTATAGACTTCACTAACTGACAGTAATTTTTCAGCTCCATTATAATCTTATGGGATCACTGTTGTACATATGGCCCGGTCCATCATTGATCAAAACATCATTATGTGGTACATGACTGCATTTGGAGAAAAGATTTAGCTATTCAAAACACATAAAATACCCGGAAAAGAAGCCCTGGTATTTATGGAAATCCTATTTAGAGTAGCATACAATTAAGCACTTCAGTGAGCTTCTGACAAGGATTAGACTTTATTTTCTTTTAGTCTCTTTAGAATAACATCAGGGTATCTGTCATAATTGATGCATAAACACTCTACTTGGGAAAAACCAATGATGTAATCTGTCCAAGCTGATGATCTAATTTGCAATTTGTTTCTTTCTTCTCTAACTACCTTAAGGTTGGTTTCCAGAGTTCATTAGCATTTTTATCAGAGAGCCAGAGGTGAACTAAAGAAAGAAAAGAAAATGAAATTTTAAACCTGTCAGTTTCACTACCTGTTAGCATCTCTAAGAAAAGGTTGAACAAAGGTCTAATGGGAAAATGTTTAAGTAACTGCAGATTTTACATGCACTAGTCTAATGTATTCTTTGTCATAATAACCATGGATAATACAACATGGGATTTAATCTTTCAGAAATAAACATTAGGAAGAAACCATCAGGATAGGACATACACCAAAAAACCCTTTTCAAATATGTAAAACCCTTCCCTGCTAAATCTAAAACAAAGCAAACACCCACACTGCCCCAATGCTCTGAAAACAGCATTCATGAGTGATTAGAGCTCAAGAAAGAAAAGACTTGGATAAGCAAAATAGTGCATTTCTACCAGTAACTAGATTCAAAATCTAACTGCTTACTAGAGGAGAAGGAAAATGGGGCTGGAGGTCTTAATGCTACAGTATGAAGCACAGTTTGTAGAAACAAACTAAAACCTTTACAGAGGACAATTCAACAATATGCATTGACAGCCTTACAAATGTGTTGATGCCTTACAACTGAGTCTAACCATTTCACATGTAGAAATTTAATCTGTAGAAATAATCAGAGATGGGCACAACAACTTATCTAAGATTTCCAAAGAAACAACAAACAACAGGTGATACACTTTGGAGTCACACAGATCTGGGTTCCAGTC